AACCGGGGATTAAACTCACCCCTTGCACTTGCCAGGCAAATGCTTATTCTACTGAGCCATCTCCCCTGCTCCCAGGCTGGGCTTGAACTCAACTTTGTAGCCCAGACAGGCCATGAACTCACAGTGATTCTCCTGCCTCAGCCTCCCAAGGGCTGAGAGATTGGTTGATATCTTTTGGTGGGGATTGAACCCAGGACCTTGTGCTTGCCAGGCAAATGCTTATGCAGCTGAACTATCTCCCCTGCCCAGTTGATTTCTTGATAGTAACCATTTTTTCTGTACTCAGATGGAAACTCAGTGCTGTTTTAATTTACATCTCTCAAATGACCAGTGTTGTTGAACATTTTTTTCATATATTTATTTGCCATTTCTACCTCACCTGAGAAGTATCTTTTCATTTCAGATTCCTATTTTGGATTAGGTCTTTAAATTTTGAGTTCTCCATATATTCTAGATATTAGTCCTTTGAGGAACAGCTGGCAATTTTTTTCCCCCACACTGTTTGTTTCGTCACACTGTTAGTTTCTTTTGCTGTGTCCTTGTTTTTGTTTTGCATCCCACTTGTTGGTTCTTTGATATTTCCTGTGCAGTCACGGTTTTGTTCTTAAAGTCTTTTCCTACACCTCTGTCTTTAAGAGTTCTATGTATTTTCTCATCGAGCAGATTTAGTGCTTCTGTTTTAATATTTAGATCCTTGATCCACTTCAGTTTTAGGTTAGTGCCTAGTGAAAGACAGGAGTTGTAAGGGGCAGCATAAGGCAGAGACCAGCCAAGACCACTGGCTTGTGTAAAGGCAGCATGACATGGAATGTATTGTGCCTGGGTGCAGGTAGCAGGGCAAAAAGGCCATTTCTAGGGAGCAAAGAGAGGCAAGCTTTTTCTTATGGGGCTTGGAAGGTGGAAGGGGTATTAGGTAGGAATATCTTAGTAAACTCAGGGATCAGGGTTCTCTAAATGTTTCATGCCTCAGTGGGCAAAGTCCTTGAGGCATCCAGTATGAATGCTTGGATGTCTTTACATGTCCAGGTACTTGCAAGATTCCATTTTCCATCTTAACTCTTTTAGGAAGTCCTCTGTGAAGGGCACTGGTGTTCAGTTGAGAAAAATGCCTCTTCTGGGAGGCAGGTTGGGTATGGGGAGGATCATCTCCACATCAAGCTTTACAGGGGTCTAGTTTTAATCTTTGGCATGTGGAGAGCCAGTTTTCCCAGCAACATTTATTTAAGAGCCTTTCTCCTGGTGGAGGTGTTTGTCTCCTTTGTCAAAGATAAGGTGGCTTGGGGCCGGGGAGATAGCTCAATAGAATATGCGCTTGCCTGGCAAGCACAAGGGCCTGAGTTCAATCCCCAGTTCCGCAAAAAAAGATAAGGTGGCTTAGTATGTTTGGAGTAGCTTCTACATCTTTTAATCTGTTCTATTGATCCTTAGGTCTGTTTTTGTTTTTGTTTTTGTTTTTTTTTTCCTTTTTTTTTTTCCAGTACCGTGCTGTTTTTATTAGTGGCTTTGTAGTATAATTTCAAATCAGGGGTTCTGATGCCCCTTGCCTTTGTTGCTCAGAATTCTTTTTGGTATTCTAGGTCTCTTATGGTTCAAATGAACTTTATGGTTTTCTCTAATTCTGTGATATCTGCTATTGGTATTTTGATCAGAATTTCATGAAGTCTATGCAATTTTGGAAGTATGGCCACTTTCACTATCTTGGTTCTTCCTACTCAAGAATAAGAAATATCTGTCCATTTTCTGATCTTCCTTTTTAGAATATTGTAGTATTTTGTCTTTTTGAGACAGGGTCTGCTATGTGGTTCAGGCTGGCCTTGAACTCACTTCGTAACTAACCCAGGCTGGCCGTGAGAGCACTATAGGTTTTAATGTAAAAGTCTTTTGCCTCCTTTGTTAGGTTGGTTCTTAGGCATTTCATGTTTTTGGATGCTGTTGTGAAAGGTGTTGCTCTTCTAATTTCTCTCAGTGAGTATGTTGTTTATGTATGGGAAGGTTATTGATTTTTGAGTGTTGACTTTGTGTCCAGCTCTGCTACTGAATTTGGCTGTTAAATCTAGAAGCCTTTTGGTGGAGTTTCTGGGGTCTTCTATGTAGAGTATCATGTCACCTGAAAAAATAATTTAACTTCTTCCTTTCCTATCCTTATTCCTTTTATTTCT